ATTTATAAATAAAAGTAATTTAATATAATAGTTATAAAAGATAAAATCTCGATTTATATATTAAAGTATTAAAAAGTAGTTTATATATTAATAAATATTATTTAAATACTCTAATATAATAACTCTTCGAATCTTAATATAATTAAGTTTTATTAATTATAAATAAAGCGTTAAACTATTTAAAAAGATATATTAAGAATTTATAAAGATATCGAGAAATAATAATTATATTATTAGAATTACGAGTTTATATAAAAGAGGATTTAGAAGTAAATAGAGCGAATATCGAGATATATTATAAAGATTATTTATTTTAAGAGCGATAATAAGTATAGAAAAGATCGTAAGAAAGATAATATACGATTCTATAACTCTATAAAGCGAGTAAATAAATATATATATAGCTATATAAAGTATTATTACTAGAAAAATAAAGCTATTTAAGAAAAAGATTAAATTTATTAAAATATTAAGCATATTAAAAGATTTAGCGTATATATAGAATTTTTAATATTACTCTTCGTAATTAGATATATATTATTTAATTTTAAAATAACCTTTTTATTTTCTATTAAAATTTTAAAATTCTTTTTTTAAATTATAGAACGAAATATAAGCTTTTAGAAAAAAATAGAATTATGAAACTTAGTTCTATGATTATTAAAGTATAAGAAATTCAAATATCGCTTATTAAAGATCGCTTATCTACTTAGTCGATAGCTCTAAGTAAAAAAAAATTATAAATTTAATTTATAGGCCTTTACTCGTATAAAATAAAAAAGTTATTTTCTATTAAAAATTTTAAATTAAATAAGATATATTAATTTATTTAATTTAAAGCTATCGAGTAAATTTAAAAAGTAAGCTTTATTAAGTAATATTAGAATTTTATATTATTAAAGAATTATAAAATTAATTTTCTAAGTTATTTTATTATTAAATAACGTAAATTACGACTTATAATTTAAAAAAGATCTTATAAATCTTAATAGATAATCTTAAACTTATAAAGAAGTTAAAAGTAGAGAGAGATTTAAATAGTTATATTTATTAAGTTATTTATTTATAATATCTAATTAAAAAGCGTAGCGAATTCGAATTTATTATTAATAATATATATATACTTAAAATTTCTTAACTTAATTATATCTTATTTTATTATATCTATTAAGAAATTTAAATTTTAAAATTAAAGTTATAGAAGTAATAGATAAGTTTCTAAAAAGCGATATTTAAAGTTCTTATCTTTTAACTATTATAAGATTAAGTTTTATAATACTTTTATTATTAAAATAAATAAATTATACTTTATAATTAAGAAAAAAAATTTAATAGAAAATAAAATAGTAATTTTTAGTCTTAATAATATATATATTTTTCTTAAACGAAAGCTATCTAGCGAACTTTAATAAGAAATATTTAAATTACTTATTTTGAAATTATTATATATTAAAATATAAATTTTAATTAAACTATAATTAGAGTTTAATTCTTTAAATTATAAATTATAATCTTAATAAAGAAGTTAATTTTACTTTAAATAATATATATATATTTTAAATAAAAAGATTTAAATGAATTAACGAGTTAACTTTAATAGTTTAATTAAAGAATTTAATAATCTTAAATTTATAATTAATTATATAAAAAAAAGATTCTTTAATCTAACTCTATTTTATTATTTTATATTTATATATATAATAATAAAATAGAGATAAGTTAAAAAATCTTAATTTTACATATATAATTAATTATAAATTAGATATCGCGAGTAAATAATTTAATATTTATAAGTATTAAAATCTCTTTATCTACTTATTCTTTTAATAAATTTACTATCTTCTATTAGAGTTAATTTATTCTTAAATTATAAATCGTAGTTTACGCTTTTCGAATCTAAAAAAATTCTAAAACTTAATCTTCAAATTCTTTAAAAGTAAGAAATTTAAAAATAAAGATCGCTTACTAAAGATCGCTTACTCAAGATCGCTTACTAAAGATCGCTTATTAAGAATCGCTTAGTAAAGATCGCTTATTAAATTTATTCGATAGTCTTAATTAAAAAAATAGATTATAAGTTTAATTTATAGATTTACTCGTATATATTAATAAATTTAAAATTTTCTTTATTATTAATAAGTTATAGATAATAATAATAACTGGTAAAAGTAAATCTAGTAATAATTTAATAATAAAATTTAATAGATATTAAAGAATAAACTATAGATAAGTTATATTAAATTAAACTTATATATAAAATTACTTATAAAATTAAATTCGCTACGCTTTTTAATTAAACTATTTAATATAGCTCGCTAGCTATCTTAAGTTTTTTTATTAAAATATTTAATATTTAATATTTAAATTTAAAGAATTTTTTTATATTTCTTAAATTTTTAATCAAATATTAAAATATAATTCACGTATTTTAAAAAATAAAAAGTTATAAAACTTAATCTTCTATTTATTTAAGAATAAGACTTTTTTAATTATTACTTATAAAAGTTTACTTAATATTCTTAGTTAAAAATATAGATATGTATTATTTAAATTTGAAAAAAACTATTTTAATCTCTAGTAAAAATCGATTTTTTTCTTCTAAATTCTAGAGTTTAAGTTACGATATTAAATAATTTAAAAATTAGAAGAATCTATTCTATACTTCTTTAAAGAAAAGAAATTTAAATATCGCTTTTTAAGAAGTTATTTATTATATTAAAAATCTTCTTTTAATATAATATTAACGAGTAAAGATCTATAAATTAAATTCATAATTTTTTTTTTAAATTAGAGCTATCGAGTAAATTTAATAAGCGATCTTTAATAAGCGAACTTTAATAAACGATAATTAAGATTCTTATCTTATAATAGATATAAGATTAAATTTTAAAGTTTCTAAAGTTTTAAAACGCGTAAACTACGTTTTATAATTTAAAAAGAAATCTTAAAATTTTAATAGAAAATAAAAAAGTTATCTTAGATTTAAATAATATATACGTAAAATTTTTATAAGAGAGCTTAAGAGAGCTAGCGAGCTAATTTAAATAGTTTAATTAAAAGACGTAATAATCTCGAATTTATAATTAACTATATAGATAAATTTAAGATTGTTTAGCTTAACTCTATCTTCTTCTTTTATATATATTAATAGTCGAATATTATTAATTTTAAGAAAGTTCGAAATTATTTTACTTTATTTTCGATTTAGTAATCTCTCTCGTTAAAAGATTATAAAATTATAATACTACGAGTAAAGATCTATAAATTAAATTCATAATCATTTTTTTTAATTAGGGCTATCGAGTAAATTTAATAAGCGATCTTTGACGAGCGAACTTTAATAAGCGATATTTGAATTCCTTACGCTTTAATAATTATAAGACTAAAAATAGAAATTCTTTTTTTATCTAAAAGCTTACATTTCGTTCTATATTTTAAAAAAAAAATCTCAAAATTTAATAGAAAATAGTAAAGTTATTAAAGTGTTAAAAGTAGAGTAAGAGATTTTAATAATCGCGAACGCTAATTTATTTATTCGCGGAAACTTAGTCGATCTAGTTAAAAGACGTAATAACCTCGAATTTATAATTAATTATATATATAAAATTAAGATTTTCAAGCTTAATTCTATCTTATTCTTTTATATATATTAATTTTTTAAATTATAAAATATAACTTTTACTTTTTAATAACGTAAAGTTTATGAAAATTAATCTTATAATTCTAAATAAATCTTAAGTTAAAGTATTTTTACTCTTTAAGAGATATATTTAATCTTAAGATTAAATTTAAAAGTTATTTACTTTTAATAAATTTAACTTATATACGTAAATTTATATAATTATAATATAATTATAATATTATAGAATAATTATTATATATTAAAGTATAGTAAGTAATAGTTATTATTAGTTCATACGAGAAGAAAGATACTAGTATTAAGTTACTAGCTACTACTACTTTTAAAAGTCTTACACCCGCGTTAGCACAAGCCCTAACCCTACTTTCGATAGGTTACCCTGTAGTGGGGAACCCTAGGATTACCTTTTGGGAGCCCATACGCTGCACTTTAGGGAGCTTTGTGGGTGCGATAGGCCCCTTAGACCCCACGATGGGCGAGAACTAGGTGCATTTCCGACACAGTTTCAAGCGCATTGTCCCGGCAACCCTCGAAGCGGGAGATATCCGACATGTGGACCCTTTTCTTGGCATGGTGCAGGACTTCTGGTTACCTCATGATAGATCATCAATCCTCCAGGGATCCAACTGCTTCTATCAGACATTCTTCTTCTCCGCTGCGAGGCTGCCTGATTCCGAAACTTCAACACATCAACGCAGCCCTTCGCACCTCAGAAGTTTGATTTTGTTGAAGATGGCGGGATGGGTAGCTCAGCCGCTGAGGGATGTCCGATGTCCGATGTAGTACCAAGGCCCCATCGAAGCAGAGCAGGCGCAACAACGCAAGCGATCCAAATGAAGCAGGTGCAACGACGCAGCGACGCCAGGGCCGTGTACTCACATGTTTAGGGTATTACGTAGGACATCGATGGACCTAACCTTGACAGAATTAGGCAAGAGCAGCGCTTTGGTTCGTTGATGAAACTCGCCATGGCACTTCAAGGATATACTTGCTCCCTGCTTTCACTCTTCCATCATTTCCTCACGCCATACCGAAACGCTTCAGACCTCTCGGAGTTGTCGTTCTCGCCTTTTCCACTCCTAGGAGCACCTAAACTGAGTGTCCTTCGCAAAGTCTGCACTGCCAGTATAGCTACAAGGCCTGTCTTTGCTGCAAGTCAAAGCCACTTTTGCTACGTGCCAGTAGTGCCAACGAAATGTCATTGCCCATTCCCTTGGCAGATGCTTCATACGTTGCGGAAATAAGAGGGCAGTGCGACAAGCTTCAACCCAAGGAGAAGTTAGCGCTTGTCGAAAAGGAAATACGAGTCGCCTGTGATAATCTAGAGCATCACTATCTCCGTCTTGATGCACTCATCGATATGGTCACCTCGAACAAGCTCTACATCGTGCAACACCTCAGCCATCGAGCATGGCTTAAGAGCCTGGGCCCTGACACAACTGCTGCCGTTGACCAATCGCGAGCCCATAAAGGAAAATGCATGGACCTTTCGAGTAAGATCCACCAAGCATGGGGAGTATGGCCATGGCAACTGGTCGAGGACCAACATCAACCACACTGCTGGTCTAAGGGAATTCTCGATGGAATCCTTCGTCTAGCCAAAACGGGCTGCGAGCAGACCAAGGCTACGGATCTTTTAGCTCAAGCGCGAATTGATCGGGCCTGCCGCGACTATAGCGATCGTCGCTTGGGTACAACCAGGGAGGACGTCCTTACGAAATCAGATGTTACCAATGCCCTGGAGAAGTACACCGAGTCAAGTGCTGAATGCGAGTTCTCGACGTGTAATAGCTCTTGCGCTCGGCTTTTGAGTTCTGCGCTAACGCTTTATTAGCTACTAAGAAGCGTAAGGGGCCTCAGGGTGGTGCACCTAGAAGGGTGAAGTCAAAACTAGCAATGCCTTTGACAGTATCCCCGAACAGGAGTCCTGAACTTGGACGTGGACTTGGTAACAACTATCCAGACGATACAATCCGCTCTCCATCCGCCCTAGCACTTAGTCAAGTGTCTGATTTAACACAACATGGGACGGACGTCCTCTCGACTCGCACATCTAATAACCAATCACCAGGTCAATTGGACACGTCATTTTATCTTAAAGCAGACTTCGAGCATAGGATTCATGATGACTTCGACAACGGTACCCAAACTCACGAAGAGGAATCTCCTGAATCTGTAGATACCCACAAGAGAATGGCACCCGATAGTGATCTTCTAGGCGCTGTTGCCGCACTCAGTGGTCGCCAATGGGTGTCGTGTCGGCCCGAGTTCTCTCATACATCACCTGAGCAGCTCATGGACACAAAAGATACTGAATCTCTGTCGCCAAAGACGCTACAGCAGCTGCGTTCAGGGAATGGTCCTCCGCATCAGCAGCAACCTCAGTCAAAGTCATCCAAGGAAAATGTTACCGTATCGAGGGAGATGCGCTCTAATACTCCAAAAGTTGTGTTGCCGCGTCCGCCAAAATCCGCGAACACTGCCTGTGCTTCAACACCTGCCGTCTCGGAACCTGCCTCTTCGTCATCCCTGCCTCCGCTAGATCTTATATCTAATTCTCAAGACATGGCTACTATGAAAGAGCCTCTCGACCTACTAACGGACGACCTACCCTCTCGCGCCCGGCTCGACGGAATCACAGATTCGGGGGCCAACAGTGACAAAGAAGCCGTATTCCAAGGAGAGGAGGCGCATGAGTCAGTGAATCAGATACAGGCCGCCCTAGAGACCCTTGGAGACAAACAATGGGTCGGCAGCATCGCCCTATGGACGCTACTCGAGGCGGGTTGTCCGTCCGGGGTCCGCTTGGTTGACTGCAGCTACATTACCATTGAAAATCCCAAGGAAATGTTGACTAAGCGCAGACTACGGCTTCGCGGGGAGCGCATCTTGCTCTGCCCCCTGAACCACTACAATAGGCATTGGACACTCGCCATTCTGGACACTGAGGCTGCTATCGTTGATCACTACGATCCACTCTCTCCGGGTGTCTACAACCGCTTAGAGGCACTGGAGAACTTCATCACATCTCTGGCAGAGAAGGAAGAAACCAGCGGATTCAAAGATCTTTCGGAATGGGAGTTCCGCGGCATGCCGTGTCCAGAACAGTCCAATGGATATGACTGTGGGGTCTACACTGTCGTGTTCGCTTATTGTAGGGTACTCAACCTGCCGATTCCTGTTTCCCTTGATCTTGTGTTGTGGAGGAAAGCCTTGAGCTGTTCACTGGACGACGATGGAAAGTTATCGAATCAAATTGACATCGAGGCTCAGATGGAAGATCGAGACACGAAAGTACCAGCAAATTCTCAAAAAGCTTGCAGAAGCCGTCTGTATCTCCAAAGTCCAGGCCCACAAGGAGTGGACATCTTTACAGACGAAATGCGAGATGAAGAGTCTTTTTTTGCAGATACACAAGAACTGATTCGTTCTCAGCGTGAGCAACAGTTTGCCGCAGAGAGGAGCGCATCAGTCGCGCAGGAGACCGCAGCCATAGTGGCCGCCCTGCTGTCGCAAAGTCGCGAAATGATCTCACAAGCGCAGGCCGACCAAGATCTCCTGCAGACACGCCTCGATGCACACAGGAGGATCTTGGACGACTATAGCAAATTGGACTTTACTATACAAAGCGCCATCGACGGTCTCAATGCTGCAGTAAGCTGCCTCGAGAGGGATTATCAGCGTTTTGCCGGCAAGGTCGCCAAACATAAGCATTTCGTCGCGAGGTGGGAGCGCACGAAGATGTTTTGCGATAAAGAGCAAGCCCGTAGAAGGGAGCAGGAGGCTTTGAAAGGTGCCGCGATGAAGGATACGGCTGGTAAGATTCGAGCCTTCTGCATACAGAAAGAGAATATCATCAGGAGATTCCGAGCGTTATCGGCAGAGCTAGGAGACAGTGATGACATTACATACGACTGACGGAGCTAAAGAGCCCATAGAGTCTACTTGTGTTTATCTACCCTGTAGCTCAAGCTTTCACTCAACTTGTAAAGTAAAATGTTGAAGTACGCCATAGATTCATACGGAGCTACGTCGCCCGCAAAGTGATGGAAGAACTCGGAAAGAAGCTCTGTAATCCCTGGTGACTTGTTGCATAACCATCAGGGACACCATTCCTCTTGCCGCTTAGAAGTTAACTCCTTTCTATGAAGCAGATGGGTAAATGGAAAGTGAGTCACAAAGCCTGTGAAATGAGTGGCAGTCTCCGATCAAGATAGGCTATTGCGCCTTGATACGCCCCCGCGGCTCTCGGAGAGATCCCTCACCCTACATCTATCTCAAGCTTTGCCTCCTCCTGTGAAGCAAGTCCCTGGTTCATTCATGAAGCCTGGTGATGCTCCAACATCCTTCCTTACGACCGCTGCACAATCCCTTTGCGTTTTCAACTCCCACTGTATTATATTCATTCATAATCGATAGCTTTACAATTAAGACACGGTAACCGAAAAGGTATTACTCCTCTAGCGGCGTCATATTAATATTATTTCTTACTTAATAAATAAATTTAATAATTAGTTTATTATTCTTTAATAAGTATTAGTCTTTAATATTCGAATCTAAATTTTTCTAGAAAATCTTTTTCTATATTATTAAAAGTCGTTTATTTTATTAAGAAGTATCTTTCTTTAAAATAATCATTTCTTTATTCTAAGAATCTCTCTTCTTCTTAAAGTTCATTAACTTTTATAATAATAATCTCGCTATCGTCTCTAAAACTTATTTCGAAAAATCTTAATTCTATTTAAGAGTTTTTTTCGAACTTTTAAACTTAATAATCTCGCTATATCTTCTATTTCAGAAAGCTTAAATAAGATTATACTTTTCTTTAAGAATTCTTCAATTTCTTAATCTTCTTTTAATTTTTTTTAATTATCTTTATTAATAAGTTTTAATAATTAATAACGTTATAATATTTAAACTAACTTCTTAATTAGTTAAAGATCTTATTAATATTAGTTACTAGATCTAAAAAGTTCCTTTAAATATAAGATAAACTTATTAATATTAGATTTTCGATTTAGTTAATTATACTATTAACTTTATTATTAATAATTATTTATAAACTAGTAAAGATCTATAAATTAAATTTATAATCGTTTTTTTTTAATTAGAGCTATCGAGTAAATTTAATAAACGATCTTTAATAAGCGATCTTTAATAAGCGATATTTGAATTCCTTATCTTTAAAGATCTATAAGATTAAATTTTAATATTCTTTTTTTATCTAAAAGTTTATATTACGTTCTATAATTTAAAAGAAAAGTTTCGAAATTTAAATAGAAAATAAAAATGTTATTTTAAAATTAAATAAGTGTAGAGTAGATTTTATATGATTAATATATATCTGATTTTTTAATTAGAGCTATCGAACTTTAATAAGCGATATTTAAGATTCTTATTCTTTAATAATTATAAGATTAAATTTTAAATATTTTATAATATTAAAAAGCGTAATATTTAAAAAAAGAATTTAAATTTTATAATAATCTTAACTAAGTCGTTTAGATTAAAGATAAGAATATATTTATTTTTATATAATTTAAACGCTATAATAGATAAGTATTATAAATATAATTATAAGATATAATTATATATTATTAATTATCTTAATAATTATAGAAAGTATAAGAGAAATAAAAGTATATAATTAAGTTTTTATAAATTTTTCTCTTCTAAGTATTTATTTTAATTTAGAGTTTAATCGCTATTTAATTAAAAAAAGATAAATTATAGAAAGTATATAAAAGTATATTTAATAATTCTAGAATAAATTAATAATATTTATAATAATAATTAAAATTAAGAATTAGATATACTTAAATAAGAGATAATTTTATATTATTTATATAATAATAAAAATATTAATTAGAATTAAAATATTAATTTAAATAATATAATTTTTATAATAAGTTTATTATTATTATATATTAAATTAATTATATATAAATAAATATTTATAATTCTATCTTTTAAATATAATTATAATTAATATTTTAATTTTTTTATAATAATTTAGTATTTATTAGCTAGTATATTAATATTAATATATCTAAACTATAATAAAGCTTATTATTAAATTCTATATCGCGCTTTTAAATTATTTAAAAGATAAAGTTTATTTAATTATTAATACGTATAATAGAATTATTTTTAAAATTTATATTTTATTTATTTTAATTTTATTTATATTCTTATAATCTAAATTTTATCTTTATATAAATATATAATAACGAGTAAAGATCTATAAATTAAATTTATAATCATTTTTTTTATTAGAACTATCGAGTAAATTTTAATAAGCGATCTTTAATAAGCGATATCTGAATTCTTTATCTATAAATATCTATAAGATTAGATTTAATAATTATTTATTTATCTAAAAACTTATATTATATTCTATAATTTAAATTCAAAATCTTAGAACTTTAATAGAAAATAAAAAACTTATTTTAAAATTAAATAATGTACATCTATTTTTTAATTAGAGCTATTAAGCGAAGTTTAATAAGCGAACTTTAGTAAACGATATTTGAATTCCTTATACTTTAAAAATTGTAAGACTAAATTTTAAATTTTTTTATTATTAAAAAGCGTAAGTTTCGGGCTATAATTTTAATAGAAAATAGAAAAGTTATTAAAGAATTAAAAGTAGAGAGAGAGATTTTTAATAATTATAGACGCTAATTTATTTATTCGCGATAACTTAGTCGATCTAATTAAAGAGCGTAGATCTAATAAATTAATAATTAACTATATATATAAATTCAAGATTTTCTAGTTTAGCTCTATCTTATTCTTTTATATATACTAACTTTTATAAAAAGCGAAACTCTAAATTTTCTCTAAATTACGCTCGCGTACTTTTTTTATATAATATTATTAAATTATAAGTTTACTAGAATAATAATTAAAATTAGAAATTATTTAGTATTTATTTATTATATTTTATCTAATCTATTTAAAAATATACTTCTATTTTAATTACGATATATTAATATATTTAAATTTATACTTTTTATAAACTATATATCTAGATTTATACTCTTTATAAATTATAATAGAATTAATAGCTAAAATATGAATTTTCTTAATTTCTTTAATTAATTTATTTTTAAATATAAATATATTTATTCGCTATCGTAATCTCTTAATATTTTTATTTTTATTAAATTTATTCTTCGCTTTTCCTTTTAATTAAAAATCTAGTTATTATTTAATTAATCTATATTAAAACTCTTTAATATTATTAATAATATTAATATTTAATTTTTATAATAATAAATTATTAGATTTAATCGCTTTGACTTTAACTATTATAAAAAAGTAAATTAATAAATATATATAAAGAAATTAAAGAGCTTATATAAATACTTATAAATATTAAACTATACTTAATTTTAATTAATATTTATTTTATTAAAAAGTATCTTAATTCTAATAAGTATCGAAGTTAGAAATAAAGAGAGTATATATTATATTCTCTTTTAATTATAGAGTTTAAATTAAAAAATATTTATTTATATAAAAAAATAGAATAAAAATAAAATATATAAAAATTTTAATAAGTTATAATAGTTTTATTTTAATAAAATTAGATAAAGATAATTATTTACTAACTCGCTCTTTTAGATAACTTATCTTTTAATCTATATAAACTATAATAATAATAATATATTTATAAAAGTAAATAAAATCGTATTAAATAATAGTACTTAATAAATATAATTTATTTAATTTTAAATCTTTAAAATTAAAAAGAAAGTGTATTATCTATTAATATTTAAATTAAATTAAATAATTTAAAATCATTTAAAATTTTAATATACGCGATATATATTTAAACTTTCTCTCTTTTTTAAAACTTTTTTTTTATATTAATTCTTCTTAATATAAAACTATCTTCTTTATATATAAGACTTCTATTAATAATATAATATTATTATAACGATATTTAAAGTATAATATAATTATTAAATTATATATTTATTTTTTATTTATTAATAACTTTAAATTAATATATTAATAGATCGCGCGAGAGCTTAACTTATATATATTTAATCTATTATAAATAGCTTTTCGAAAAAATTAATATTATATTAAACTATATATAATAATAATCTATATAAAATTATTATAATAAAGTATTTACTAGATATTATCGCTATTTTAATAGATATTATTACTATTTTAATAAATATTATCGCTATTTTAATAAATATCGCTATTATTTTAATAAGATTAAAATATTAATAAAAATTAAATAATATATTTTTCTAATTATTATTATTTTTATTATATATAATTAACGCGAGCTATAACTTAAGCTTTACGCGAGATTTTTTATTATCAAAATTTAATTAATTTTAAAACTTTAAAACTTCTCTTTTAACGCGTAATTTATAAGATTTTATATTATATATATATTATATTATTTAATTATTATCTTTAAAAATTCGCTTTTAAAAGATAATTTTATATTTTTATAATAAATAAGATATTAAATAAAATAATTAATAAAATTTAATCTTTTACTAGCTAATATTAAGTATTATAATTTAAATATTTAATTATATTTAAAATTATAATTAATATAAATTTAAACTTTCTATTAATATATAGCTTTTTTTAAAAGATTTATATAAATATAAATTTTTTTTTTATATATATTATACGCTTAGCGAGAAGTATTAAAAGATTTATATCTATCTTATAACTATATATTAGAATTTATTTATTTTAAATTCTAGATATAAATATCTTTATTTTTAAATAAAATAAAAAAGTTATAAATTTAAGATTAAATATTATTAAGAGTTATCTACTCTTTTTTATTATATTTTAAATATTTATAATTATTAATATACTCGCTAATAAGAAAAATATATTATTATTATATAAATTTAATCGTAATATTAATA